TGGAGTAAAAATAAACCTCATTTCCGAAGGGGTTCAATTTGTGTTTGATGAACACGATACTATATACCTAAAATCTCCGTCTACCGATTCGAGTTCTGATTCTGTTACTTACTCCATTAATAATGGCATTGGTCCTGTCATTTCTCCAGAAGAAGCTTTAAATTCCTTAGCTCGCTTTATTAATCAAGAAATTCCTCATCCCGAAAAGATAAAGTCTACAGAAGTTGGCACACTTGAAGAAACAGAGTCATTCATATTACTCACCAATGTACCATTCGCCCTTTCCGACGTGAAAATGAGCCAGTCCTACGTTCAATTGGATGATCAAACGTTACAACTTGTTTGGGACATTCAAGTAGAGATGGAAGATAATTGGTATAATGCTCATGTTAATGCTAATACCGGTGAACTTATCGCTCTTATGGATTGGGTTTCCGATGCTATGTATAACGTATTTCCCGTTGGGACAAATGATCCTTCGGATGGTTCTCGACGAATTGTTGAGAACCCCTATGATATTATCGCTTCGCCATTAGGCTGGCATTCCCAGGGTAAAAACAATTTTACCAATACTATTGGTAATAATGTGTATGCTCATGAAAATTTAAAAGGAAAATACGATTGGGAAAATAATTATCGTCCTGAAGGTGGTAGTTTATTGGCTTTCGATTTTCCTTTGGATTTGAATAAGGCTCCAAAGACTTATATTGATGCTTCCGTCACTAATCTCTTTTACTGGAATAATATGGTATTTATATATGATTTCATTTCGTTAAATGCTATGTATGAAACAATTATTTAGGTAATTAATAATATATTTTTTAAATTTAAAGATTCATGATTTATTCTATCGATATGGTTTCAATGAGGTTGCCGGCAACTTTCAACAATATAATAATGGTAAAGGTGGAAGAGACAAGGATGCTGTAATCGCCAACGCACAAGATGGTTCTGGGTATAATTATTTTTTTTTTATTTCTTTTATATATATATGTTCATATCATTGTTTTTTGAAACCATTTTTTTTCAACACAATAATTTCAGATTTAATAATGCTAATTTCGCTACACCACCAGACGGTCAGCATGGTAAAATGCGAATGTATGTATGGGATGTCATTGAACCATGGCGCGATGGAGATCTAGAATCAGGGATTATTGTATGTATCGAATGTATCAAATGCATCAAATGTATCAAATGTATAATGATTCGACTATAAATAATCATGTCGTTAACTGATTTTTTCAGATTCACGAATACTCTCACGGCATTTCCACTCGTTTGACCGGTGGACCATTAAATAGTAATTGTCTTGGATGGGGCGAAGCCGGAGGAATGGGGGAAGGTTGGGGCGATTTCTTTGCGACAATATTACGCACGAATTCATCCAATAATAGACATAGTGAATTTGGAATGGGCAATTGGGCTAATGGTGGTGAAGGTATAAGGCGCTATTCGGTATGTTAAATTTATTATTTAATTTAATTATATGTCTAGATATAACTTATTTAGTCTTTTTTTTTTTTTTTAATTTTATATATAGTATTCTACCTCCTTTAAGACAAACCCAGAAGTCTTTTCATATTTGGACAAACCAGGATATTGGGGTGTGCACGCTAAAGGGTGAGTTAAATAATTTAAATAATTTAAATAATGTAGTTATTTGATGCAGTCAATAACAGGAGTTATTCCTTGAATTATTTTGTTGGTACGATTAGAATTTGGAACCGGTTTTATTTTTCATATACAAAAACCGATTACGGCTATTATCATTATTTCTGGGACACCTGAAGAATTTTCAGATGACCGAAATATCCTCCGTTTCATTCGGTAAATTACCTAACTTCTCAGAAACTATATCGCTGTCTCCGGACCTTCAGTCCGAAGACAGAGATGTAATTTCCGGAGAGCTAGGTAATTTACCGAATGAAGCGGAGGATATTTCGGTCATCTGAAAATTCTTCAGGTGTCCCAGAAATAATGATAATAGCTGTAAAACCGGTTTTAACATATTAAAAATAAAACCTGTTCCAAGCGTATTATTGGTCAAATTGTGGCTGATAATCGCTGATTTATTCACAGCGGATACCGCATTATGACGTGACCTTCGGCCACGTCATAAAAACAGTATCCTAGTGAATAATCAGTTATCATCCACAACATGACCAATAACAAGTACTTATTATAATTAGGTCATTTATTTTATTTATTAATTTTTTTTTTTGTTAAAAAAATAATATTGCTATTAATAGAGCTGTGTGGGCCGAAATATTATATGAAGTATTTTGGAACCTTGTTGATAAACATGGCTACACACCCGAATGGTTCCCTCCCGTTTTAGATAAAAATACACCTCCGTCTTCATCAGATTGGTATTCTCCCGCATCAAAACCCGATAAACTAATTCCAAAACATGGCAATACCTTAGCATTACAATTGGTAGTAGATGGGTTGAAACTTCAACCATGTCGCCCACAATTTATAGATGCACGCGATGCAATTATACAAGCTGATGAAGTACTCACAGGTGGCGAAAATTTATGTGAAATCTGGCGAGGTTTCGCGAAACGTGGACTTGGCTTAAAAGCCAAAGTAATTGGAGGAAGTCCATGGGGTGGTGGTGTTCATAAGGACAGTTTTAAAGTACCCAAAAAATGCAAGAGAGATGATGACGACGATGACGAGGATAGTGATGATGATGATTAGAATTTATGAATTAAAGAATGAATTAGTAGTAGAAATAAATTTTGGGAATTTATTTATTTAAATTATATAATTTATAATATAAATGAGAATAGATTGATTTGATTTTTACCTTTGTTTTTGCCATGTGCTAAATTTTTTTTGGTGAATCTAGTGAATCTAGTGATAATAACGACAGTACATATACGAGTTAATTCCTTAGTATTTGATGTCGATCATCATTCGGAATCATTCAAATTTAGTTCCAATCACTCGTATATTTAAAGACATCCAAAATCAATAAGGATCTTGCTGCAGGATCAATTTGTAAAAAAAAAATCATAATTTTGTAGTCTTAAATAAATTCTACAATGTTATGAATTTTGGTTTATTCAATTTTTCAAAATCCTTCAAAAATGACACTACACGAATGATCGGCACACAAATGACTTTTAGCCAATACGAATAATGATAAAATGTGGCTCAGAAGTTTAAGTGGCACAAATTTGATTTAACTAAATGGTTCACACTATATAGAATAGTGTCATAATTTCTGGGACAACTAAAAATAAATCGATAATTTGTAATTTATTAATTCCGGCTCAGAAAGTTTTTCAGCTGACCCGGAATTTATGTAATAGACTCGGTAATTTATCGATTTGGTCAATGGAAAGTTTTTAAGTATTAACCAGGATCAATAAAAAAAAAAAGTTAGCCCTTCGGCAAATTACCTAACTTTCGCTAGCGTTACCAATGTTTAGCCTTATGATCTATAACAGTGTCTAAAATTCGAATGTGCGGATCCAATCAAGTCGCTTGATTTTTAAAATCAAACGATTTGATTGGATCCGTACATTCGAATTTTAGGCACTGATCTATAGTGACATATATAGCGCACCTTAACCTGATTAGCATAGATAAAAGTTGCATTACGTTTAAGTCAGATTATTTCGTTTCACTTGATAAGATTCGTTCGAATATGATACAGGATTTTTATTACCAAGATAAATTATTCGACATAATAAAATTGAGGTCGAAACAATTTACAAAAGTCTTATTGATATAGTAAATGTTACTAATAATTCGGACACATTCACTATTGTTATATTATAGTTATAATGCTTGACTTCAATTTTAAAATTGTGTATACAATTTGCGTTTCAAATTTTTTTTTTACGCAATATTAAATAATTAATGATGAATAATTTTCACACCCACAAGTTTATTCTGATGTGACCAAAAGTAACGTACATTCGCAACTAATACAATTCAACGGAAACTCCATATTTTCAAAAATCCAGAAATGTATGACTACATAGTATTAATTAACGATTAAGAACAATACCATCAAACTAATTTAATGAATGATCATTAGTTAGTATTAATATCACGAAGAGTAATATATTGAAGGCAAAATTAAAAGCTCACCCTATGTTTGAACCACTTTATGGTTTCATCCTTAGTTACACGATGCGAAAAGCCAACCTTCGAAATAGCTCTTCTCCTCCTAGATACTCTATTTCCAGGTCTACCTAAAACCACATAAAAATCCATACCATAAATACCAATTGAAGGATCATACTTGATCCCTAAATCGATATGTTCTTGAATACCGAATCCAAAGTTTCCAGTTGCAGAAAAATTACTTTTTTTCAACTCATATTCTTTAACTTTAAGGCCACGTTCCAGGATTTCTTCGGCTTTAGGGCCTCTTACAGTAACATGTACAGCAATCTTTTCATTACGTCTAATACCAAAAGATCTAACTGTGAAACGAGCTTTTGAATATACTGGGGTTTGTCCTGTGAGTTGTTCGAGCACTTTTGCAGCACGAGTTAAACGATCACCAGGTTCACCCACACAAATATTGAGGACTAATTTTTCTATACGAAGTTCCCGCATAGGATTAGCCGCGGATGTTTTTTCTTCGGTAGGCTGTAATAAATAAATAGAAAAAGAAATATATGAATTTATAGAATAACATAGATCTATTGCGAAATTTTTAAAAAAAAGGCCTCCTTTAACAAGAACATATGTTACATAAAATCTTTTCATGATACTTTAGCAAAATTTAATAAATATAGTGATCTAATAACATTCTTACCATTATGGATGGAAAAGTGATAACTCGAAGTTATAAAATCCTTCAAGTATGACGATTGAAAGAGGAGAAAAAATCGAAATTCGTGATATTTTTTTAATTTATAAAAAATTAGATTAAAGATTTTTTGGTACAATGTCACATGTGATCGGCCAATCAAAAATTAGAATAGATTAGCAATCACGAGAATGTTTCGTGATCCAATAAAAAATTAGAATAGGTTAGCAATCACGAGAATGTTTCGTGATCCAATAAAAAATTAGAATAGGTTAGAAATCACGAGAATGTTTCGTGATCCAATAAAAAATTAGAATAGAATAGAAATCACGAGAATGTTTCGTGATCGTTGTTGGCCAATAAAATTAATGTATTTCGATATACTGCGCCAAAATATTAAAACACAAACTTTTTACAGACAAAATTTTTTAAAAAACTGATCGATAACTTTATATACAGGACTGGACTTTACAAAGTTGAAAAATAATTCTTTTGTAGAAAGTTATAGTGATTCGAAAAATAACCAAATTTCAAATCCGTAAAAAAATTATTTAAAAAAACTGACCTTTAACTTTGTAGAGCTTAGTCCAGTGTATAAAGTTATCGACCGTTTTTTTTTAGCGTTTTAATGAATGCTCTATTTTGGCGCAGTATATCGAAATACATAATTAATCTTATTGGCCAACAACGATCACGAGAAAATTGTTGAGTATAAGCATATCTACATTTTATGGTCCGTAGTAGGGTGTCCAGAATTCCGCGGCTAATACGACCGGCACTACTAAACTCGAGTACTTTTATGTCAAGAATACATATTTCAAATCGACAATTTTATTTTATTTTATTTTTAATTCTATGGATTCATGGAATTAAAATAAAAAAATTTCGCCGATTTTAGATAGGTAGTTTACGAAATATCATCGCTCAAAGTTTGGAAAAAATTTGACTGCGATCTTTTTGATAATCGTATTATTTTTGAACTTTGAGTGAATTGAAAATTTTTTATATTAATTCTATGAAATTATTGAAATAAAAAAAGTTTCATCGATTTTTAGATAGGTAGTTATCGGTAGTTATCGAGATATATCAAAATTTGGCAGTGGTCTTTCTGATAATCGTCTAAATTATTTTTGAACTTTGATATCTCGATAACTACCTATCTAAAATTGATGAATCCATAGAATTAAAAATAAATAAATAAATAAAATCGTCGATTTTAAATATGCAGTTATTGAGATATCATCGCTCAAAGTTCAAAAGATGTATCAATTCTTAAGATGTCTTATAATGAGGGGTTTTCATTTTTCCAACAAAATATATTATATCAATACTTTTAAAGATCTCGCGCACGTGGTTAGTTAGGTTAGATTGCATCTGGAGTAGCGACTTTAGAAATTAGATTATATATACATTAAGTAATAATTCTGGCCAATGTTACTTTAGACATATCGATATGAAGTTGCTGAAATTGCGGTTATACGAAATTTCATAAAAAAAAAAAAAAAA